TCGGTGCATTCTGGGAGTTGGTAGGCTAAGAGCTGTACAGGTGACCAGGGGTTTTCCCATCAGCTGATGGAGTCCATGTGAATCTTCCACATCAACAGTCACTGAATTGGGGGAAAGGTTGTGTAAACCCTGTTACCCTGCAGCACATCTGCTGCTGCGGCTCTGACAGTGCTGCTGTGAACTGTGGTCAGAGGGCACAGTATGGTGCAGAGAGTCCACCACACATAGTTTACCACACACTCATGATGGTGACTGACGAGGATCAGAGCAGGAAGTGAAGCATCTGCTGTCATCAGAGAAACACTATTCCCTAAATCTGTGTGTGTGTTTGTGTGTGTGTGTCAGTGCTGTCACGAAGAGGAGAAGCCGTGATGTGATGTTTGACTTGAAAAACAAGAGGCTAACAGATGTTATTAGACGATTGAAAACTGAGACAAACCTGTTAACTTTTAACCTAAAACTTCTAACTTAGTCTTCTACTTCTTCTACTGTGTTACTAAAAACATAAATAAATGGCTGCTGGATTCAGATCTCGGGCTCTGTGCATGCTGCCTCTCTGGGACAGCACACCTGGATGAAGTCATCGATATTCGCCACACCTGTGTGTTTCTATAACACCTCAGCCATAGGCAGTGGTTCATGACCTGGACTATAACTCTAAACTGCATATATATGCAACCTGCTGGACAATTTACTTTCCCCTAGGGATGAATAAAGTATCACTCAATCAATCAATCAATCAATCAATCAATCAGTCTATCTATCTATCTATCTATCTATCTATCTATCTATCTATCTATCTATCTAAGTCTCTGGTGCTCAATTGATTTTCATTTATGTCAAAGCAGATTGATGTATCTGATATTTTTTACAATCAAATATCAAAAACTGATCTTGGAGGAACCTGGGAAAAGTTTCTTCCTTCACATCAGTGAGTCAGTGAGACTGGGTGAGAAGAGGTGGAGAATCTAATGGTATGAAATGAGCTTTAGCTGGACCCCTGAGAACAGAGAAAGTAGAACCTTAAGCCTCTGGCTGACATTTAGCATGTAAGCTCTGGTTATTAGTTTGTATACAATAAGAGTCTTTGTCAGGGTTTTCACAAAGTTTGAGTTCACGCTGGTGAAAATGTCACATACTGGTAATTTAATAGTTCTTCAGCTTCAGGTCAAATTCACTCTAACTCACACACATGATGCATAAGGTAACAATGGTCCCACAGTCACCTCCAGGTCATGGTGCATATAAAGATAAAAACCCAAATTACCCCAGCACACACACATACACACACACACACACACACACACACACACACACACACACGCACACAATAGTTCACGCTGAATGGGGCTGACTGGCTGGACTTTGTCATTTGGAGTCCAATGTTGGAAAAAGTATAAACTGATATAGTCAGACTGTTTATAAACCCTCAGACACAGACACACAGAGACTCCTCTGCTGTCAGGGTCCTGATCCACTTAGTTCAGGCTGCATGGATCAGCTGATGGGTTGTCATGACACTGACATGTGGGAGGTATTTCTCTCCACATGCTAAATGATACGTAGCTTTAGCAACATTTGGTATGTAAGTTTACTCTACACTGTCAGTCTAACCATATAAATGAAGTAATAAAGTGCTCACCTTCATGTCTTTAAAAAAATTATTATTAATTATTAGTTCTGAAGTCAGTGTTTCAGGCACACATGAAGAAAATACATGCAAATAAAACAACACAGTTGTCAGTGGAAATACTGTACGTTTCATGTCATGTAACATATGGTTTGAAGGTATAATCTGTAATATTTAATATCTAAAAACAACTAGACTTATGTTCTATATGTTGTTGAGTTGTGTTCTTAGATTTTCCCAAATGTTTCCATCAATTCTCAAACCAGAGAAATCTGTAATTTTAATCATGGTAACATTTCATTGGTCGCTTGTCAATGACATCATATCCTCTATGATCATGTGTCAGTGTGTTTGTCTGACAGAAGCTCAACATTGACTTTTATCTAGTTTTAAGCCACATACACTTTTTACACCTTGGTGGTTTTCAGCTCTGTATTTGAACCAGATGAAGGATTTTAGTCGTCGGACGTCTGGATCTGAAGTTATCAGAGAAACAAGCTGAGGAAATGTTAGACAGCTCAGCTCCCAGCTGCTGGAGACGTCCTGTCCTGTGTCACTGAAGAGCGTCGCTGAATCTCTGATTGTTAAAGTCAAACTGTTTTCTGGGTGTTTCTACAGGTTTTAATCCCCTGGTGTGTTTGTTATGGAGAGGAGGACACCTCTGTGGATAATCCAGCTGCTGGTAAAAACCTGCTGAACATCTGGTTCATAAATTATCAGAGAAACAATCAGAACAAAGGTTAGCATCAATCTCAGCTCCAGCTCTTCCCTGAGTCTCTGTCCACCGTACAGCGTCGCTCAAACACTGACTTTAAATGTCAAACTGCTTCATTCAGTGTTTTAACACTCATAATCACCGGGTCTGTTTGATTTCCTGAACCACTGACACTGAAGGAATCCAAACCGGGAGGAGTTTATGGTAATGATGGTGAAGACAACAACTCCTATGATCCGCCATCTTCTGTTATTGTTTTTATTGAGACCCCTAGAGGCAGAAGTTACAGACTGTGAGTTTAAAGACCAAAGTAAATGTCTTCCTGTGTCCAGCAGGTTAACACCAGCTGCACTAACTGACTCATTTTAGCTTCAAGTTTGCCATGTTGATGAAGTATGTATTTGTTTATTAATAATCATGATAATACCATCAAGTTTCCAGCAGAGCTTCTGTCCGTGGCTTTATAAACTGGCAACAGGAAGCAGCAAAGTTGGTGATAATCAATAATCAATTCTATGTCGGAACAATATTTTTAAATTCAAACAATATATATAATGTCTAAATATTATTGTCATTGTAGTTAAATTCTGTTAAGGCTAAATTGATGAGACAGAACACCATGAGCAGCAGCTTCTCCATCTCTGCAGAAGACTTCTGAAGCTCCTCCCTGACCCAGGTCCTTCTCACCTGGTCCCTCAGTTTGTCTGGACACCAGCTCTAGAAGAGTCCTGGTTCCAGACATGTTCCACGGTTCTCCTGAGAACACTCAGAGCTTTGTGTCCTGATCTCTGTCTCACCACAGAGGTCTACAGAGAGTCCACTGGACTTCATGTCTTTGTCCAGACCTGCAGTGAACTGTGGGACCTGATACACACAGGTGTGATTCTCTCTCTCTCTCAACTGTCCATTAAACTCAGTTCCCTACAGGTGGACTCCAGTCAAGATCTAGATTCATCTCAAAGACAAAAAAATCAAACAGGAAACAGCCGACCAGAGTTTGGAGCCACAGAAAAGTGTGTGAAGGCTTTGAGTTTTCAGGTTTTGATTTTTAATAAATTTGCAAATGTTTGTAAAAACATGTTTTCACTTTGTCATTCTGTGTTATCAAGTGTAGACTGATGGTCAAAAAAGTCAATGTTCCATTTAAAATTGGATCTATGACACAATAAAGGGCTCTGAAACATTTACAAGTCTTTACAGACACATGTTCAGGCACAGACATTAACTTCAGAGGTATTAAATGATAGCAGATAGCAGAGTGTTTATATTCTGCACTGTTTTAGGTGTTTACTTGGTTCTATGTTAAAAGGAAGGAGACACCAGGCTGTTTCCAAGAAATAACTCACAGCTAGGAGGCGTGACAAAACTTGTCTGAAGTTGTATGTGCACAGTGGCCAATGTGCATGTTAGTTGAGTCAGACGACACACCCTGGACTTACTCAGTGTGTCCGTGGAGAATGGAGAAAAACACAATGTGTGTGTTCAGCTGGCCCTCAGGCTACTGTTTCTTTACGCACAGGTGACGATCAGCACACCACACAGCCTGGCAAAGACATGGCCTTAAACACTGTCTACAGGGCATGGATTGTGTCCAAGGAGGGAGGAGTGAGTTTGTCTGTGTAACAGTGTTTCCTGTCCTCACAACAACCATGTTATTTGCAAAATGGAAAAGTCCAGGAAATTATTACACAATACATTTATAATAAATAAATAATAAAAACACTGCAGATAAAAACTTTGTGAGACTTTCATACAAGTATAATGTATGTATGACTTGCTATTATAAGTCATATTGGCCAAATTATAATATATATATATAATTTGACACCATCGCCATATTTATTAAAGTTTTAGTGATTTATACTCAAAAGGTTTTGTGTTAAAAGTAGTGTTAAAACATTCATTTATCTCTCAGTTTGGAAAAAGACTCCACAGCCATGCTAGCTGCTCAGTCTGTCCTTAGGTACAATGGTGCTTTAGCTGAATGCTAACAACAGCGAGCTAATATGTTTACAATGACAAAGCTAAGATGCTGATGTTTAGCAGTTGTAATGTTTACCATGTTGAACCATCTAGTGTTAGCATGCTAAGGCACTATAAATTAGCACTAAACACAAAGTGCAGTTGTTAGTTTTGCAGGTATTTGGTAATACACCAAAATACTGGACTGATCTAAAACGGGACCTGATGATGGAAAGTTCAGTTATCAGGGTTCATCCTCTGGGAACAACAAGAAACAAATGAACAAACATTTGATATTTTCGAGTCAGATGAGATTATTTAAGCTCAGTTTTAGTTCATAATAATGTTTTATTACATCTCATTTAGTCTGTGTGTGAGTGTGCAAGTGTGTTGACTGTGTGTCTGCGTCTGCCTGCGTGTCTGTATGTGTGTCTGTTGATTCATAGAGTGCAGGGTGCGGTGGTGAAGGGTGTGACTCTGACACACACTGTATCATAGCGTCCAGGTGAGACTGTGTTTATAAAGCAGCAGCCAGGCAGCAGCACACTTCAATACAGCACCTAACAGAGCTGATAGAGAACCAACCACCAGGTGAGTCTCACCTTCACACACACACTCACACACACACTGTCGTCGGGCTTCTCTTTCTGTTTACTGATGTTCGGCTTTTTGTTTTCTCCTCTGCTCCAGACTTTTTCACAGGAGGAATACAACATGAGGATACTTTTACTTCTAGCTGGTAAGATATTGTTTTTCACTTTAATATTTACATTTTTCTCTCGTTCTGTTTCACAAAGTTTGTCCTGAGAGACACTCCATTTTTTAGCCGGGAGCAAGAACTAATGTGAAACAAGCTGCTGCAGTGATTGGCTGGAATGAGATATTTCATACTCTCTGGTCGTGATGGCACATGTTTAAAGAGCTGTTAACCCTGAAAGGATTTCATCAGTCCACTTGAAAATCTCAGAAATGTTGGCGTCCCTATCCAACCCTGTAACAATACGGAGGCCTAATAATGCCTAAACAATGACACTTTTTGTTTTATGATGACGATGGAACATTCAGGACTGAACTGAAGCAGACGGGAGAGAGGTCACTTGTTGATTCACCATCTGTCTCTGACTCTCTTTCCTGTTTACTCTTCCTGTTGCTAACCAGCTATCCATCTGAAAACTCCATTTGCCATGGATGTGATCTTTTAGTGAACAATCAGACTGAGTTATCAAACAAGTATATGACGTATAGGACTTCCTATTATTGGCTATAGTGATAGACATTATTATGAGGGGTAAAAAACATTGAAAGGAGTTTTTAAGCATTTTTAATGTTTTCAAATATCATTTCATTTTAAAACATTTAAAAACATCAAATAGAGTCTGCATGTAATTATAGATTTTTACCAAAATTGTAGTGTTTTGCCAGTGATTTAATGATTTGTCAGCGTACTTGCAATACCTTCGGCCCAACAGTAGGCTTTCCCAGATTCCCAGATTGGGAAACACTGACCTAAGGATTAGACAAGGGCAAAACCTCTTTAACATGGGCTGAATGAGAAGCTATTCAAAGTTCAGCAAAATTATGGTTCCCATCACAGAGCTTCTGGCCATGGTTGAAAAATTAATAAAACTGTCATTTTCGAGGCCTGAAATTGTTAATTTAAAGTCCAGAGCTGGGTGTGGTCATGTTCTGGTGCAGTGCAGAGATGGTTTGCTAAAGGTTTCATGTGATGTAGGTTGGTGATCTAATCAAGGAGGAACTGTTTCTGCTAATAACTGGAATAACAAACAAATATTTTATATATTTTCATTAGTTGTGAGTAAAACTTGGTCAAATGATATGTAGGCTTTTTTTATAATCAACAAGTAAATTAGTACAACAGTAACTGTACTGTCACAGTATTATTAATAATTAACCCCTAACATCTAGGGGCTAGCAGCTAACTTCATTTAAAGCCCCAAGACCTTAATCTGTACAATAACATCACTCTTTAATGGTTCAACATGTTCTATAAACATGTGCTACTGGGTCACAGAGCAATACAAAACTAGTTACTTTAAAGCTCCATATTTTCCTCTTCTTTTGTGTTTTATTTGAAGTGTTGATCCATAAGAAGATATATTTGTGGTTTTAAGAACCCAAAACCATCTCAGGGTAGGTTTACATCTCCTCTCTCAGGCTTCTCTCTGGAGTGCTAGTAACAACAGGTTGGTGAGCCAATCAGAAGAGAGGAGGCTCTGAGCCTCTCCTCTGATTGGCTGAGTGGTTTCTGAGTGATCCAATAGAAATATAACAGATTTCAGGTAAACCATCAAAGAAAACCCAATCCTGCAAGGTTGGATGGGGGGTCCAGGTGGGCTTGGGGCATGGCTGAGAGTGGTGACTGTTTTGTTGTGACATCACAAAGTTTCAGAAGTCCTGAGGCTGGTTTTAAGGCTCAGTTTCTGATTACAGGCTGTGTGCATTTCTCTGTGGACTGAGGCTTTGATACTTTCACAGTATTAATATAGAAGCTAGACCTGATCTATAATCAAACAACACATGGACAGAGACCTTTAGACTGTATGGAGCTTTAATACTGCTGTCTGTTCTGTGTCATTGTGTTTTATCGTTTAACCACATACAGTATATACTTGATATATGTGATCATTATTATTACATGCAGATTTAAAGCAAGTTCTGATGACTTTTCAAATACTTATGCATATCAGTTGATATAATTTTTATTTTAAATAAATTTTCCAAAGGCTGTCTGCATTTCTCTGTGGACTGAGGCTTTGATACTTTCACAGTATTAATATAGAACCTAGACCTGCTTTATAATCACACAACACATGGACATCTACCTTTAGACTGTATGGAGCTTGAAGTAAAAATGTAGGTTTTTATAATTATTATTATTGATGCTAACTGAGATATTGATGTTATTGATGAATGATATGGATCATGTAGTGATTGATTTTCTTGTTGCACTGTCTTCCTCCTCACAGCCATAGCTGCAGTATCACAGGCCCAGACTGACTGCTCTTGGGGGGCTTGTTACCCCCCCAGCAATGACCTGCTCCTTGGCAGGTCTCACCAGCTCCACACCTCCTCCACCTGCGGCCTCACCGGCTCCGAGGTCTACTGCACCCCATATCAACTGGTAGGAGCACAGTCCTATGTTTACTTTTTATTTCTCTGCATCAAAGTTGTTTTGAGACACAAGTTTAAAAAAAAAATAACTACTGTGATAAAATCTTAAATTATCTTGACCAAAGAAAACCTGTTGAATTCAAGCTGCAGTTTGTGAGACAGAGCAAACAGTGAGGAGATAACAATAATAAGACAGGAACATCACTTCTGAAATATCACTGCCTCAGCCAGCTCTGTTCACCCAGGCCACGCGTGGCTCTCTACGTGGGGTGAGTGCCACAGAGGTCAGAGTGAACAGACAAACGTGCAGGACGCAGGCTGTGGCGGGTTTGGCCGGACAGCCTGCTGTCTACTTGTGAAACAGTCTGATGTCAGTGCCAGAGCATCATGTTGCAACTGTACTCTTTGACCAACGTCTGAAAAGCCAGTCACCAGCTCGTGTGCTGGCTCAGCACAAAACCTCCATATTAAATATGTTGATTTTGAAATAAGACTTTAACACAGCAGTGAACCATCAGTGAACAGGAGTCAAGCCTGTGTTGCTGCAATTTTTTTTTTTTATTGCTCAAAAAAAGGCTGAAAAGTGTCTCTAATGTGAAATAAAATCACATATATTGTACCTAAGTTTATTTTTATAAAATCCACTAAAAGTGAACTAGTTTGAACTTTCTAATCCTATTAAAGTTGACATTTTGTATTGTGTATTTGGACTTTTTAAAAGATATTTATTACATGCAGCTTTATTATGATGTAAAGATGGTGCAGCACAGAGTGAGAGGGCAGTGAAGTTCTCTACACAGTTCCAACATACCACAAGTAACACTTGATGTTTTTATCTTCCAAAGCTGCTTACAAGTAAATATGTCACTGAAATAAATAATAGGTAAAGTTCCAGATCCTCAAAATAATGACTAAGTACTGTAGAGAAGTAAAAGTTACCACATGTAGAAGTTGGGAGATTGTATGATCTAAAAAAACTTAAATCAGTGAAAGTGCGGCAGAGAAACACAGACAGTTGTTACACAGTCTTCATACCACACAGTGTGTGTGTGCAGTGTTGAGCCTCAGGGAACAGATAGCTGTGTGAGGTGTGGACTCTCTGATTGATTTTTTTTTACCTGAGCCGCACCTCGTCCAGACAGGGAGGGGCAGGAACCCTCAGCTGTATCACAGACTGACACATAGACACACACTAATGCTTGACTACCAGTTTGTTTGGTATGCCTCATCACATTGCTGCAAGTATCAGATTTTGCAACAAATAATTAAGTTTAATAATCGAGTGATTGAATTAGAATTGAAACCTCTCTAGAAGAAATACTGTCTGGGTGCAGGCTAAATTTTAATTAAGTAAGAAAAGCAGCTGTCCATTCCTGTTGTGTTGACTGGTCTAATGTTCACGTCCTTGAATATTTTTTATCATACTGTGGCAATAGAGTTTTGACAGTGCCAACATCCACATATCCTGGAAAACATCTGGCTTCAGATTCCTGCTGATTTGGGAATAAAACTGTTCTCAGTGCAGTAACCCAGGTTACCTGGACATCACCTCTGACACTGACTCGTTAGGTCTCTCACTGAAGCAGACCACTTAAACCTCCTTAACATTACCTATGTATGTATTTATTATCAGTACCACTTTACAATAAGACGTTCCTTATAAAGGATTATAAATGGTTTATAATTAGGTTATTAATTTGGTTGTCAACACTTCACCACAAATCATAAATAAACAACATTGATGCAGGCTCACTATTTGGCAAGATCAAGTTATTGTTTACTATTCATTAATAGTGAAACAAATCATTATTTATTAATGATACTAGTATATGTCAGATGAAAAAAAACATGTTTGAAATTTCCACACAACAACAAATAGTTTTTTTGCGGTGTTTGATTTGCAGTTTTTGAAACGAGAAACTGGACATTAATCCTTAAAATCTATAATGTACCCAGGATAGATTTTATCATTGTATTCGTCTTCAACACACAACAACTCCAGCAGAATCCAGCCACAGACCCTCTGGTTGACAGACAAGGCATTTCTGATCCTATAAATACACATGTAATGCCATTCTTATACTGCTATACTGATAATCTGACCATGCATCTGTATATTTAAGTGATTTTGCTGCTGGTGTCTTGTTGCACACTAGTTAAAGTGAAGAAGTAAAGTTAACGTTAACGTTAGTTAAAGTGTAACCGGAGCCTCCTTGGTGCCAATGCAGACTCTATTTTTATCACGATGTCTGCTGTGGACTTTACACCTGCACTCAGATCAGATTCACTTCAGTTGATGCAGACTGGATGTGCCAGCAGCACTGACTAAATGCAAACAGTGTGTGTTTGAGGTGACACCACAGTGCCAACAGCCCTTAGACCTCCACGCTCAATCACTTTTTACCTACAAACTCAAAGTTGAGAAGAATCTTCCCATCATGCTTCACTCAGATTAGATAAGATCTACTCTGTTGCAATAATAAAATATTTACACACAGTCAAATTTAATGCATTCAAGTTGAAGTAATAATTCATCAGTCTGGTCTATCAGTGCAGCTGTTTACTGTTTGTTCCTTAAACAGATGTTGAACATCACTTTTTTTCTCTATCTTTCATTGACAGTGTTTAGTCTCTGTCACAACTCAGATCATTCTACTTGTTGGCACATTGTCATTTACTTACACTGTATTCATTCATACAGTAGCTGGATGTACGCTGATTGATCTATGCATTTTACTTTTCAACAAGACAGAAAATAAGCCATGTGATCCTTGCTGAATTACATTTTCTAAAGATGTGTTAACCATGATTGATAAATAGATAATTGATAATTGATAATTGATAACTGATCCTCCAGTTTTACTCAAAAAGCTGTTTACAGACATGACATGAAATAGTCTGTAAGGTAACTAAATTAAAAAGAATAGATCACACATGTAATAAGAATAATAATAATAATAATAATAACAGAAGGAGATGAAGAAAGACAGGTGGAAAAAATCTGAGTTATGTGTCAGAATTGCAGATGATTAAAAACTAAATACATAAAAAACTTGGTCGAAAATCTTTCAGTGGTTTAATGAGAAAATGCACAAATTCACAAAATAACAGCATTGACAACATGTCAACATGTTTGAAAGAGAAAATAACTTAAAACTTTAAGTCAGCTGCATTCATACAGTGATGAGGTGTGTTCTCATCAGTGCTTGTGAATATGGAAGTGAAGATATTAGTTGGTTTAGAAAACAAATCCATATAAAGGTTGTTACAGACTGTTGGCGTGGAGCTAGAGGGAGGGTTTCATGAAAAACACTGGACCTGAAGGACTTTACAAGGACTTTACAAGGCTTCATAGACATGTTGAATTGTTGGAACACCCAACAATCTGATGCTGGTGAGTGATCTGAGACACGTAGCTGCAGGAGAAAACACTGTGGAGGCCAGAATGTTGTAACAATCAGAAACCATGAGGGACCTGATCCATGCATGGTCTGTGTGCCAGAGTGGCAGCCTTGTCCGGGGGGGGGGGGGGGGGTTACTGGATACTGACTCAGCTGGTGGAAGCTGTCAGTGATGTGAGCACTGTGTGGGGAATTGTCCAAGTACATATATTAACAAACAGCACGTAACTCATCAGCTGCAAAAATAACTGTGATTTATCTGCTCAGTTAACTTTGACCAGGTGTGTGTGTGTGTGTGTGTGTGTGTGTTTGCACGTGTACACTCACACCCCACAGGTGCTTTGACTGATTCAGTGTCAGTAGATATTCACCTGAAAATGTTGTATCTATTTTTAGATGAATTATTTCTTTGAATTCTGTAGTAAAATTGTATTTTACAGTGAATTAGTAGAAGTTGCAGAACGTGGTCAGACTTAAACTGGGGCAGTACATGTTCCTCCCACATCTTTTACTGGGGGAAAGTTTGTGCCACTTTATTGACCAGTTCAATGCAAACATTGTTTAAATATAAAGTGAGGACTGTGAGAGATCAGCGTTCCCAATCTGAGGCTTATCGATCTTCTGTCCCTGCTGCCAGTGTGTGACCTGCTCAGTGAAACGGCTTATCTCCTGGTCTGAGGTCCAGGGGTCGCATTCAGGACACGCACACTGATGCAATTACAAACATACAAGTATTACTCTGCAGGAAACTCCATTCTTACTGTTTGTTTGTTTGTTTGTTTGTTTGTTTGTTTGTTTGTTTGTTTGTTTGTTTGTTTGTTTGTTTGTTTGTTTGTTTGTTTGTTTGTTTGTTTGTTTGTTTGTTTGTTTGTTTGTTTGTTTGTTTGTTTGTTTGTTTGTTTGTTTGTTTGTTTGTTTGTTTGTTTGTTTGTTTGTTTGTTTGTTTGTTTGTTTGTTTGTTTGTTTGTTTGTTTGTTTGTTTGTTTGTTTGTTTGTTTGTTTGTTTGTTTGTTTCTCAGAGGAGGATGAAGTGTTGTCCATGTGACTCCAGGAACCCAAATGGTCAGCTGGCCCACACCATCCAGGAAGTGCTGTCCACATCTGCACCAGACAGATGGTGGCAGTCCAAGAAAGGTGAGAAGACAGAACTTTTCCAGTGTCAGCAGTGATCTGCAGCTGCACAGTGACTCCATGAAAATCAGTTTAAAGTGAATCAAAGTCTCTGTATGAACATCTGTTAATCATCTGTTAGTGAATCTGATGGAGATCTGTTCTGCCTGTTTGTCCTGCAGAGGTGAGTCCAGTCACTCTGGAGTTGGACCTGGGCAACCTGTTCCAACTTGACAACCTGGTGCTCAGCTTCAAGGTAGGACACAGTCTGCAGTATGTTGCATGTTGATGAACCATATTCATGATTCTGTATGTTGTGTATTTGAAATGATTTTTTTTTAAATAATAATAATAATAGAAGAAGATTTGTTTATTTTGAAAATATGTTTTCTGTTTCAGGTTTGATAAATGCTGTAAAACTTTAATTTATCATTATTTGATAGTTTATCAAACACATCTCGCTTTATTTGCAGGCCTATATATTTATTCCTCATACATGACTCATGAATGTTAAACCTGATTCATGTGTTTGTTTGCAGGGTCCACGTCCCAGCGCCTTGGTCATAGAGAGGACGCTGGACAACGGCAGGACGTGGGAGCCCGCCCTCCACCTGGCCACAGACTGTCGCAGAGCATTTCCCAGAGTCCCCACAGCTACACCTCTCACCCTGGAGGACACGTACTGCTACACACTGCCCCCTATTGGAACAAACCCCTACCAGGATCACACAGTGAGGACAAACAGCTGTTTTACTTTGGCTTCAGTTATTCAAAATGTTTAGTTTTAGAACAAACTCTATCATTAACACACATTTTTAAGTTTTAATTATTTGTAACTGTTTAATATTTACTTTTTATTATTCATCACTTTTAAAGATACCACAGACAGAAGGATTTAACAAACTGTTATCAAACTGTCAATAACTGTGTGTCTCTGAGGATCACAGTGTTTTACATTATTGTGAAAGTTTGTGAAATAAGAGCAAAATCTGATGTAAATAGAGAATTCAACTATGTTCCTCTCTCTTCTCCAGATCGAGTTCAGTCCTCTGCGTCAGTACGCTTATGTCCCAACTCCCAACAGCCAGAAGATTGAAAGTAAGTGTCTCTGTCCATTCAAGATCAGATGGTTTACAGACCTGGTTAAAGGTTTTATCCTCCTGACTCACAGCTGTCTCCTTCACAGATGTGTCGGGGTTAACGGGGCTCAGGGTGAGGCTGACAGAGCTGGGTGATGTTCCACGTCTGCCGGGCAGATCTCTCAGTCGCTTTTATGCTCTGAAGGAGATGAGGGTGATGGGCAGCTGCATGTGCCATGGACATGCCAACCGATGTCTGCCAGAAACCCACAACTCCCCTCTGTCCAACACCATACAGGTACCTGTACAGGTGCTTTTTGGTTCTTCCTGCTTCCCCTTTTTGTACTGAGCTGGAACTACAGAGTCTCTGTACTATACCCTGTATTTTCTGCTCTAGATGCAAAATTATCTAACAATTAATTTAACAATTATTATTTATAATGGTGAAACAAAAAGCATTCATGGAATAAGCTGTAGATTCAGGGCACTGATCTTCATACAGGCTCAAAATTTGCACAAACACAAGATAAATTCAGCAGGGCAACACCAGAGTGACAATACAGTTTGAAAACACATAATATTTCTATTTATTCATTTATTTATTTGTTAATTCACAGAATTCACTCTTGTTTACAAGGGTGCACTGTAAATACAAAACCAGAACACGCCATGTGAGAAAAAGTGTAGAGAGAAGGAACATAAAGAAAAAACAGTAATATAACGATAATACGCATTCATGTTGAGAAAAACAGGATCATTCATCATATAAAACATCACTTGACAGAATCTTTAACTGTTATATTCATAACTGGCATATCTACATTCTTGTGAGTGAGTGCAGTGTCTCATATTCCTGAGTCTTAAAAGTGATGATAAATCAGTTTAGTTTATTTAGGATGGTTTTATGAATCAAAAGAAGACAGTGTTAGTGTTGTTCTCTCTTCACCGTCATACAGGATCTAAAACTACCACCTGTCTAACCTAAGAGCTGTGAACGCAGCATGAACAGGGCAGTTGAATCTGCACAGTCAAGTCCTGATTAATGGGCCCATGTATGTATGTTGTCTCTTTGCCAAGCAGCTGTGTGTTTAATTCATATACTTTGTCAGTTTGGCGATTTTTTTTTCCTTTATTAAGTCATTACAAAACAAGTGAAAACAGGTGTAACAATAGTGAGATAGACTGGACCACGCACATAACAGAGGATATAACAAACACACAACACAACAAAAAAATAGATTAAGATAAGAGGAGAGAAAAAAGAATAATGATAATAATTGCAGAGGATATCAAGTAGGAAAAATAATAATAAAATAAAATAAAAATTTTTTAAAGTTGGTTGTGGTTGGGGATGGGGTTGGGGGACCTATAGCGGGGACAGGGGCCAGATCCCGGCATCAGCCCAGGGGCCAGGTGGCTGAGAAGTGAATTTACTTTGTGAGATGAGTTGGCAGCAGTTTTGTGTCTGTCTTCAGTTTTACTTGTTAAGTCTGATCAACAGTGAAAGAACCCAAAAGTAATGAAATCACAATGATGTGAAAGAAAAGAAAAGCAGGAAATCATCATCAATTTCATATTAAAACTTGTGTTTGTGAACTGAAATCTGCTAAATCTCTGAATTTCATCCACCTTCCAAATCTGTGCGTACTGATGTAATGTGTAATGAAACGTCTCTCCTGGTCGTCTGTGCAGGTGAATCCACAGTGCGACTGTCAGCACAACACAGCAGGTATGAACTGTGAGCGCTGTGCTGAGCTCTACAACGATCTGCCCTGGAGACCCGCAGAGGAGGGCAACACCCACACTTGCCAACGTAAGACGTCACCTGTGCCTGTCACACCACTCTTCAAACAGGAGTCATCGGCGCGATTAACGTCACTGTATATACTGTCTACTAACACGTGTGTCCTCTCCTCAGGCTGTGAGTGCAACAACCACGCCCAGCGCTGCCGCTTTGACCAGGCGGTGTACGAGGCCAGTGGGCGGAGGAGTGGAGGTGTCTGCGAGGGTTGTATGCACCACACAACAGGGCCGAAGTGTGACCAGTGTGCCCCTGGTTACCAGCCAAACCCCCGCAGCCGAATGGACCGTCCTGATGCCTGCATACGTAAGCAGCTCAGTGCTGAAATTAAAAATATATGTTTTACATAGATACTGTTTCTGATGAGCGGCTCATGTCTGTGTTGTTGTGTTGCTGTCAGGTTGCGTCTGCAGCGCTGAGGGAACGGTTAACGGGGGCCGGTGTGACGACAGCACAGGCCAGTGTCAGTGTAAGGTGAACGTTGAGGGGCCCCGCTGTGACCGGTGTAAGAGAGGCTACTATGGCCTGACCGAATCCAACCCTCTGGGCTGCACCAGTGAGTCATCACACACACACACTTAACACTTATCTACACCACAGGCCTCTGTTTCCAGCTCTGCATGTTCTCGCTTTTATTACTAGTTACTATTATAGCTTGTTCACGGAAGTGTGTTCACTGCATGTTCATGAGTGTGAAATACATGTGTGTGTGCAAATGTTCATATTAGAGTTGAGGAGCATGTTTACTGTAATGTTAGATATTCATCTGTGCGTTCAATCTGTCACTTCTGTCGCGTCTTTGGATTTGGATTTCATGATAAAATCTATTTAAACTTCCAGTTCCTTTTATTAATAACATACTAATGCATACATTTGTGTCTTTGTTACTAACTCTGATGTCACCCTGCTCTCCAGAGTGCTCCTGTTCTTCAGACGGCTCTCTGTCAGATGTTTGTGACCCGGTGACCGGACAGTGTCCCTGTCGCCCCCACTTCCACGGCCTGACCTGTGAAGTGTGTTCAGGAGGCTACTGGAAACCATTCCTGTCCGGACGCTGCCAACCCTGCGGCTGTGACCCCACCAGGTCATACAGTGACACCTGTGACCAGGTACGACCTACATCATGTTTCTGAATCACCAGAAATAAGGGTTGAATCGAGGGCAGCTGGACTTGGTGATACTTGATCCTTGATACTTGATGTTTGTTATCAAGGCTATTGATGTCACTTGGTTTGTTAGTGTCTGGTCGTTGTAACGACTGATAAGGACCTGAGACTGAAGTTGATTTGACCCTTCTTGGATAATCATGACCTGGATATCAGGAGGAGCAAGGATTCATAGCCAGAGTTTATATCCAGTTTGTTTCAGTTCTGTTTCCCTCTCTCCAGGTGACAGGTCAGTGTCAGTGCAGACCAGGATTTGGAGGCCGAACCTGTACCGAGTGCCCAAAGAACACGTACGGAGACCCACTCATAGGCTGCCGATGTGAGTCAGCCATCTTTAATTTCTCTGTTATTGTTCAGAAGCCATTGTTGGATTCAGACACTACAGTCATTATTATTCAGGATTCACACACAAACCTCAGTTTAACACACACTGCAGTCACAGGTTCATCCCTAATACTGACATTAAGACATGACCCAAGTCTCTGGAACCTGTTCACATGGTGGCTTCATTCAGTTCTAAAGTGGGACTCTAACACCCAGGTTTGATTCCTGGCCTTTGCACACTTACCCTTCGCTACAACATTAGTTCACGGATGGTTGTTTTTCTCACTGTTTTCCGTTCACTTTTCATGATAATCAGTTATATTCTTCTGTTATATTCTCCTCTCTCCGCAGCGTGTCGCTGTGACACTGAGGGAACCCTCCCAGAGGTCTGTGACCAGCAGACAGGAGCCTGTTTGTGTCGGCCAGGCGTCACCGGGACTCGCTGTGATGCCTGCAGTCGAGGACGCTGTGACTCTTTCCCCACCTGCGATACATGTCCGTCCTGCTTCTTCAGTCTGGACGCACAGAGACAGAACCTGAGCTTGACTCTGGAGAAACTCTCCACCCCCTTCCCTTCTCCAGGTGTTCCAGATCTTGGAAAATTTGGGCCTCGCATCTGGAGCCTGGAAGCCAGCCTGAAGCAGATCCAGGGCTCCATCCTCCTTCCACCAACCTCTGCCACACAGATTGATGATGCTCTGTCCCAGCTGGACAAGCTGAGGTGAGGGACTGCTGAGGTCTTCAGGAAATCAACACAGCCAGAATTCATCACTGATGCCTAACTGAACAATTCTCATTGTTGTCTCATAGGGACCAGGTGGACAAGGTTAATGATGACCTTTCACCACTGCCAAGAACTCCTGGTCTGGACTCGGATCTGGACAAACTGCGGGCTCTGCTGGACGGACTCACTGTGTCATTCAAAGCCAAGAAGGATGCCTTGGAGAACTCTATCAGTCCGGACAGTGCAGGTCAGAAACAGACACACACTGTGATGGATCACTGAGTGTAGCTGATGTACTGGTGCATAAATGAAGTAACAGCACCCTCAAGTGGTTCCTATTAACTTCAACTTTTAATCCTCTAATAAAAGAATAAAATATGGAACAAACAAACCCAAAAAGTCACCATCTCCAATCAAACAGACTCTGACACAGTGACACGTGTAAAACATACTCATGTGAAGTTTTTCTGTTTCCTTCAGGAGCATTTTCCACCATCAAGAACGCCTTCAGCGAGTCCACGGACGCGGCCAAGAAAGTGGATGAAAGCAGGAACACGGTGAGGGAGTCAGTCGACACCAGAGAGGGAACTAAGGACCTTCAGAACCAAGTGCAGCCAGGCAACACCAGAGACCTGGACAAACTGAACCAGAACATGGCCTCCAGACCTGACCTCACACCTGTCGCCAAACAGGTAACTACCAGACCTGACTTCACCTCATCAACATGATGCTGTGACATTTTATTTAGCACAGAAAGTTTCAGAACCAAACATATCCCTGATCTACTCTTCACTTACACATATCTGCTGGTTTTTACTTGAAGAAGTTATATGAGTCTGTATAAATCTACCACATCTGTCACTTGTAAAGTAAAACACTGGAGAAACCAGAGACTTTTCATCTTGAGCCACCTCGTCTTCGCTTTACAATACATGCCATGTCTATAGCAAATCTATTTCTGTTCATGTCCATTTATCTGTTTATGTCTTTGGATGCATCTGCACCGCCTGGAATTTTCCTTCTCTTTAGAAAATGTAAGTTAGTATAATGTGGTTCTATCTCCTGTGGGTGGCAGCAGAGGAACAGCCACTGTGGTCCAAATGCAAAAAAATCAGATCATTATAAACTGTTAGATATTTGAGTTTACATTCCCTGCACATATCCTGGCAATCTGAGCAGATGTTGTTGAACTGTCCTCCAGACAGTAATTGTTGTCTTGTCCATTTGTCTTTCAGGTGTGTGGCAGTGTTCGCTCTGAGCCCTGCACCCCTCTGCAGTGTGACGGCAGAGATCTGTGTCCACCGAAGGGAACCCCCACATGTGAGAAGGGTGCAAAGTGTGTGGGCGCGCTGCCTCTGGGCAAGAGGGCCGACGCTGACTCCAAGGATGTGAAGGACCGACTGGAAAAACTCAGTGACAAGATCACAGAGGCTGCAGAGAAGGTTAGAAGACACCTCTGTCAGCTTCACAGGCATATAACCGTCATTTTTTCTATATTATTAGTTAACTTTAATTTCCTCACAGCTCCAGGAAACACAGGACACAACCAATGAGGTGAGACAGTCTGCAGAGAAGCTGTCCAATAAGATGAAGCAGACCAGAGACGAGCTAGAGGACGACTTACAAGATGCACGAGATGTCGTCAAAGAGCTCAAGGACTTCCTGTCAGGTACAGATTGTTTTACATGGATATGAAGGGAGAGTTTGGATTCACATGGTTCCAGTATTAATGACTGATTTCTGTGTTTTTCTGTGTTCAGACCCGGCCTCAAACCTGACCCACATCCAGGAGGTGAGTGACTGGATCCTGAAAGCCAAGCTGCCTCCCAACATGGCCGCTCTGAAGAAGAAGCTGGACGAGCTGAAGAACCTGGCAGGCAATCTCCCAGACAGCACGGCCGTTCTGAAGGAGGCCAAGCCGCAGCTGGACACAGCCAGGAAGCTGCTGCAGGAGGCCCAGGACGCCAGGTGGGCCGTCAGTCCTCCACAGCCACAATACACAACTATAATACACAACCATAATACATAACCGTAATACACAACTATAATACAGTTGCTGTTGTTCAGGCTGGCAGCGTCACACATTCATTTCACATTTAACAGTATTTTAAAAGAGCAATTTGAAGTATCTTCTACACACTGTTATTAGATTGAACGCAGGAACAAATCTGTCGCTACATGTCAAACAAAGTGTTCTTATTTATCCCAGGATGGACATTAAAACAATTCAAAAGAGCATGATTTATACCAAGTACAGAGTATTCATAATAAGAAATGACAGATGCAAAAATATAAATTTTATGTGAATAATGTGTTTTTAGCATCAGAACTATTCTCTCTGCTTTTTTTCTGCTCCTGGTTCAGAATTAAAAACATCAAGCACTGAACTTAGTGGGTTTTGAAAATACCAGTTTTTACATGTGTTCTCTCTGAAGGTCTACAGGCCAGTGCTTCAGCACTCCTCTCCTCTTCAGGATGAGTCTGAGTCAATAGATGTCACACTGATGTTCTCTGTGGTTGCACGTTCACAGGGACACAGCACTGGGAGTAAAGGCCGATGTGGACGGGCTGCTGGAGGGCTTTGGCTCGACGGAGGGCTCCCTCTCTGACCTGGAAGACAAACTGGAGGACAGTATGGATCTAATGGACAAACTGAACAACACCCTGACTAAGGTGTGAACCATGGACACATCCAACAATGGACAACATGGGGGCTCATTTATTATCTAGCATTACTGAGTTCTCGAGTGGTTCTCTTTATGCAGGCCAAGGACCAGCTGACCCCAGCAGAGAAGGCTCTGGATGAGGTATCAGAGCAGATGAAGCCGATGAAGCCCCTGCTGGACGAGCTCAAAGACCTGCTGCAGAATGGAGGCCAGCAGGCCCAGGAGGCTCAGGAAAATGCAGGCAAAGCTGAAGATGAAGCAACTGCTGCAAGTGAGGTGAGAGACCTGACAGTGGAGATCAGTTACAGATGTACATTTACTATAAGTGATTAAAGTCATGGAAAAGGCTTTGTTGAAACATGTGAGAGCCTCATTAAAGCTGCTTGTGAAAGGCCTCTAGTGAAGACAATGAATGTGCAGCAGAATGTTTCTTCAAAATGTCTTAATATGAATGTGTGTGTGTGTAGGACCTGGTGTCTTTGGAGGAACAGCTGGATCGTCTTAAAGATCAGGCTCCACCCAGCGAGTCTGGTGGAATAGACGGGTCGGTGGGCGAGCGGCTGGCGAAGCTGCAGCAGGACGCTGGAGCTCTGGGCAACACCACTGACAACATGATGAAGGCTCTGGAAGGTAAAACTACAAAACCACTAAAAGTCTGTGTTTCAAATAAAACAGGTTTTATTTGAGTAAATGTCATTCAGTCTCAAACCAGAGAGCTTCGTTAGAGGTCCCATATTTTATGTTATTATATGAAGTGTTGATCCATAAGAAGATATATTTGTGGTTTTAAGAACCAAAAACCATCTGACCTCTCAGACTTCTCTCTGGAGTTCTACTAACAACAGGTCGGTGAGCCAATCAGAAGAGAGGAGGCTCTAAGCCTCTCCTCTGATTGGCTGACTGTTTTCTGAGTGATCCAATAAAGATATAGCAGATTTCAGGAAATCACAGAGAAACCCAATCCTGCAAGGTTGGGTGGTGGCCAGGTGGGCGGGGCTTGGGGCGTTGTTGAGGGTGGTGACTGCTTTGTTGTGACATCACAAAGTTCCACAAGTCCTGACGGCTGGTTTTAAGGCTCAGTGTCTGAATACAGGCTGTGTACATTTCTCTGTGGACTGAGGCTTTGATACTTTCACAGTATTAATATAGAAGCTAGACCTGCTTTATAATCAAACTACACATGGACAGAGACCTTCAGACTGGATGGAGCTTTAATAAAGTCATGAAGTCCTCAGAAGAAGGAAGTTTTTCAGTCTCATAACTTTCATAGAGGTGATTCTGAAATGCTATGTAAACACAGCTGAACTTAGTCTTTTTCAGTGTCTGTTCAGTTACGTTTGCTGTGACTTGGTCTCAATGTTTTTTTTCTCATCGTCCTTCTGCAAACACCAGGAATAAACATCTGGGAGGGAAATACTGACTCTTTCTTTAAATGACTTTGCCTTTAGATAATTCAAAGATTTGACAAATAAATGACACGTGTCATGTGTAACATCAGGTTGTAGAACGTACATTTACACAGGTCATTAGCTCTGGTCCTGTGAGCTGATGATCAGTGCAGTGTTTTCATGAGATCCCATGGTCATTCCTTGTCCTCTTATCTTTCTTCAGGTAAGGCAGATTCCCTGGGGAAGCTTCAGACTGAGATCCTCCAGAAGTCAACAAAGCTTGAAGGACTTGATGCCAAGCTTAAAGACCTTTTGTCAAAACTTCGAAAGAAAGCCCACGACCTGAGCACCTGCCAGGGCTGAGCGTTACTTAGCTGCAGCTGCCGTCACTGCAGTGCTTCACACTCACACCCTCCACTGTCGGAAACAGTCTCTAACCCTGGAACACTGCTACAACTCTTCTTGATAACACTACGCCTCATCTCTGGTTGTCAAAGAATTGTGGGGAATGTAGGAAACCACTGTCTGGGGTTGAAGAAGAGAGAAGGGAGATATAAATGACTGCTCTTGTTTATGTCCTGCATTCACGATCAGTGTAAGCGACAAGGGGCCATTCATATCAATATGTGGTCAAAAGATAGATATTTGAATTTCCTAGTATCATTTTCATCATTTACATTTTATATAATATAAAAGTCTCAAGTTTCTGACTTTTTGGCAGCAACACTAACTTTTATCATTTTTATACACTCCACTGTGAAGACTGCACCACAGTTATTATATTTTTCTGAACTATTTTGTGTTGTATCTGTTGTTTGTGCACATTATTTAAATAAAAGTTTATTAATACTTTGACTTGTGTCTTAAACTCCATATTTTCCTCTTCTTCTGTATTTTTTTTGTTGTGACATCACAAAGTTCCACAAGTCCTGACAGCTGGTTTTAAGGCTCAGTGTCTGAATACAGGCTGTGTGCATTTCTCTGTGGACTGAGGCTTTGATACTTTCACAGTATTAATATAGAAACTAGACCTGATCTATAATCAAACAACACATGCACATCTATCTTTATACTGTATGAAGCTTTAAAGCTCCATGGCAGAGCCCAGCACGCTGTAGCTGCAGCTGTTCCTTCAACACGCAAAGAAGCACAGATACTAGTTACTACACATTTATTGAGAAAATAATACAAAAGAAACATGCGTGTGCATCACTACATGTGTGAATTCAGAATCATCCATGACGTAACTAGTGTTCACACCAGCTTGTGGCACTTGATAAATTCAGTTTCTTTACAAGGGAGCAGCTTATGTGCATATCGGGAGACACAGCAAACACAGTCACTGTGTCAGTGCCTCCACCTCAACATGAAGTTTAATCTCATAAACAGATGCAGCGTCTGTGTGTTAAGTGGTACCTGGACTCAATGCATCAGTGTAATTCAGCATGAATGGCAAAATAATGATACATGTCCAAAAATCTGCCGCCAGGGTTCAGAAGGATCTGAACGCTATAGTTAAAGTTACATTCCCAGCTTTAGGTTTAGCGTCTGACAGCAAAGAATAAATTATCTGAGTAATGACATACAGAGAATTCAAAAATCATTGATTAGCTTTCACATTGCATATGTCACCTATCTCTATTTGAAACAAATAAATTTTTTTTATATAATTTAGTAACTTGTTGACAGTAATATACATTAATAATAGTTTTAAGAAAATAAATGCCATCAGCGCAGCAAGATTTTATATGAAGTCTAAATGATGAATTCCTGCTTTTGTCTCTTTTAAGTTGTTGTTCACCGACAGTCACTCCACACTGTGTCTGCTGATGAAATGTTTTCAGCAACAGAGAGACATAACACACACGACAAAGCTTAACAGCAGACGTGTCAACACCTTCACGTGAAGAAGGAAGCCACTGTCGTCTTCAGAGATTTTTCTCAGGTCAGCCAACCATTCACATGACAGAACAAACTCCAGACTGGAGCGGCTGGTCCTTCCTCTGAGCCACAGCATCCACACTGCAACACATCACACAACCAGGATTCATTAGAACAACAATGAGAAAATAATGAGAAATGATACAACAGTTTAATCCACATGGTAAAAACAGAAAATGTGAATTCTGGCGTCACAGCAAAAACGTTCACAAATTGTAAAGAAAACCTTTATTATATCACTAATAACAAATGGCCAATATCTAAAAGCTCACATACAGTCTAGCCCAAATATATACAATATTATAATAATACAATATATTATTATCATACATTATATTTATAATATATAATACAATTATATAGTTTTACTTTTTGTTTCGGTTGTTTTTTTAAGAATGATAAATTATATATGTATTTTATGTTCCAGGTGGGTTTTTTTTATTATTACATATAATTATATAGTTTTATTTGTCCCATGCCAAGGTACAATGTACAATAAGGAAAGCAGTGGCAGTAGGGAAGACTGTGCAAAATGGCAAAAAACAAAATACAAAAAATTGATATTATGATAAATAATATATATGGCAGGAAATATTGAAATATTTGATATTATAAAATATCTGCCCCTAGCCTATTTAAATACTTTTACTGTTGAACTTATCTCTTGTTCTGTGCTGTTTTCATTTTTATAAACTATTAATCCTTCAAGAATAGATTCACTCAGATGTTGAGAAATGCTGAAAAGACAACCAGCTTCCCCCAGTCAAAAACCCAATACTGCTAAAATATGTGGAACAGTTTAACGGTTCTTCTTTACAAAAATGTAATGTGATGTTTTCTGAAATAAGAACAGTTCTTAGAGATGTAATTTCATGATGAACTCATGAGCAAAACTGATTTTATAAAAAGACATATCTAAAACTTCATACCGAACAAATTCATCTCAACTTCTGCTTTACAGCTTTATCTATCCATAAAAAAATCTGTCATTTTGTGTCAACTTTTTTCTTATGCTTCTGGTGAACCCAACCAGTTTTCCAGCAGCTCTCACCTCTTGGATGGCCTGAAAGGAGCATCGCTCTCTGAATGAAAGCTATGGACCTCTCTTGACTCATCCACAGTGAGAGTGTGACCGGGCTCACTGTGACTGGCTCTCAGTGATGGACAGAGACCTCTGTCCGACTCAGAGTTACTGCAGGACAGGTGATTGGCAGCATGAACAGGATTCCCGTTGGGGTCGAGGGCGGCGGCCTTGTCTTGGCAGGATCCCAGTGCATCCAGATTGTTCTGGGAGGAGGGCTGGACAAGGATCTTGGGCATGGAGAGGGGTGAAGAGGAGGGCTCATTGTGGGACGAATGCAGTTTCTTCATGTGATGAATTGCAGAGGCTGCGTTGAAGGCTTGCTGTTGGAAAGACACACATGAGTAGAGTTACACTTCTGACACCCGATGTGAAATATGAAATGCTCTGATGAACTTACTACAGGGTTTTCCCTAGAAGTCTGTCACTCATTACCTTTATTGAAATAGGATAATTTGCTGGTGACTTTTTGTACGGCTACTACTAAAATACAACTAATTGAATAATACATGATTATATTATTGTATTTGATGTTTCAGCTGTTCTTTTATAATACATGATTATATTGTTTTATTTGATGTTTCAGGCAATGCTGCCACTAAACAGCAGTTTAATGTTTTATTTATCACATGCCGAGGTACAATGTAAAGTAAGCAAAGCAGTAAAATGAGGGTCAGACTCAGCAACAAGGCAGACTACAAAATCTCCCAAAAGTTTTTGATATTATGAAAAATATTGCATATGGTGGGAAAGATTATCAAATATCAGCCCCAGATATATATAGGGCTGCAACTAACAGTTAGCTTACTATATCTTCATTATTCACTCTATGTATTTGTTTGGTGTTTTAGTCTTTGACATGTCAAAAATAATGACAAACGCCCAACTGCTTATTTTGTCTGTACAACAATTTGTAATGATATGACACAGAAATGTCATGGTCTGCCCTAAGAGGACACTTTTTGTTTGGACACTTTTGGACTCTTTGTGTTTGGACATTGTTTAATTTCCTGTTTTATTTTGAAGTAAGTAAGTAAGTATACTTGAAGTAGAGTTCCTTATTTATCTTGCAGTCATTTTACGTCCTGTCTTTGCCCTGTTTCCCTCCTTGCTGATTCTGTTGATATCACCTCTGTTGTTAAAAGGAGTTACTTCCAGTTAAGAAAGTGAAATGATTCTGTCCTTCAATGACCTGGAAAAAGTAATCCACGCCTTTATCACTTCTCCACTAGACTATTGCAATTCTCTGTGTTTACGCCTTCCTCAAACCTCTCTATCCTGCTTACAGTTGGTCCAGAATGCACCTACTAGGATGTTGACTGGCACTAAGAAATGTGAGCACATCACCCCAGCCTTCCTTCACTGGCTTCTTGTTCAATTCAGAATTCAATTCAAGACCCTGCTGATGACCTTTAAGGCTCTCAACGGCCCCACCTTACATCTCAGATCTCATCTACTGGCACTCAGCTCCTAGATCTCTCAGATCTCAAAGCTCATCCCTTCTACATGTCCCACGAGCTCGCCTAAAGGTGACATAGCTTTCACAAATGCAGTTCCAAAACTATGGAGCTTCCTGCGACCTGATATCAGATGCGCTCCTTCCTTCTCCATTTTTAAATCAAGGTTAAAGACATATTTTTATTCACTGGCCTTTTAGCTCACTACCCTCCTAGTGCATTGTCATGTTCATATTGAGCACTTGCTCTGCCTTTCGTTTGTTATTAAACTTATATGTGTCTTATGTATTGTATATGTATTTTTTGCACTTGTTTATTTTAATTGCTCTTTGTACAGCACTTTGGTCAGCTCAAGCTGTGTTTAAATGTACTCTAGAAATAAAGTTGACTTGACTTGATTGCCTGCCCCTCCCTAATGTGTTACACCTGTGCTTTATTACCCTTGCCTCCCTTGTGTCAGTTGGTCTGTTTTTGTTCCAGCCATGTTTCCCCTGTGTCTCCTAAAGAACATAGGCTCTTTTGTGTTCCTGAGTTTCACCTGGATTTCGGATTGTTTCTTACTTCTGTTTTGCCCGTTTTGTAAGTTGGTTTTCTTTAACACCCTTTTTGTGCATCTGTATCTTGGCTCCTAAGTTTTCTGTTATCCTCATATCTAAGAAGATTTTAATGGAGAGACGTATCAAACAAACCTGATGTGAAGACCAATTATACTTTATCAATGTTAATTTCCATTGTCATTAAGTATCATAATAACAACACAGACAAAGGACAATCTGTTGTTCACATGCTGTTCAGGCTTTTTAACTGATATGTCCATTGATCAATAACTATCCTGATCTTAAGTAAAATTTTAAAACTTTATAATTACACAATAAACTAACACTGAGAGACTTTAACAGTGTTAACACAGAGCTTTCAGCATTGACAGTGTTGCATTATGTGTTATGTTTTATATTGTACCTTTTAAATATATATATTTGTGCGCACATAAATATATATATATATCAAACAAGTGTCTGTTTAAAGTTGGGAGCTCTGGTCAAAAACTGTGGTCTGTTTGTTTGTTTCTATGTTTAACAATGTTTAACAAATGTAGATGTAAAAACCTCCCTCTCTACCACGTGTAATCTGGATTCCTGTGTGCATGTAAACAGAAAGTGCACATCAGTCCATGAACCACCAGCACTCACCTTCCATCTGGATTTGGCAAAGTTTCTCTCCATCTGTTCACAGACAGACTGATAAATGTCCAAGTCTTTAGCTGTGTCTCCAGCAATCCTGCAATCAAATCAATAAGTCAAGTACTTCATTTGGAAAAAAAAGTGTGTGTGCGTGCGTGCGTGCGTGTGCGTGTGTGTGTGTGTGTGTGTGTGTCTCAGTGAGGACTGACCAGGGGTGTCTGAGTGCCTCCTCAGTGGTGAAGCGTTTCGTGGGGTTTTTCGCCATCATGTTCCTGATAAAGTCTTTTGCTGTTGAGACAGAAGTTAGCATCTGGTTAGACATCACTGCTGTGACCTGCTGCAAGCAAACAATAACATGCATTGAGTCATCTACAGTGACATTACATATGTTACCATCCAGAAGTTTCTATTCACTGCTTTAATGTGAATGTTCTGATTTGAGTTTTCAAACTTTCAACAACAAAGCACCAATGACTCTTCCATAACTCAATTATAAACTTTATTATTCTGAAGCATCTATTAACCAGTAATGAAAATGACTTATAAATCCATTTATAAATTTAAAAAGTGAGCTGAAAAGAGCTCAAATGATAGAGGACAAAAACATGGTGTAAAGTAAAGATAATGAAGCCAAAAACCTTATGTGTGTGTTGTGTGTTTCAGGGAGACTTTTTCTGGAGCAGATAATCAGAAGCACGGCCTATTTTTATTCAACCTATTTGTGTTTATTGGAGCAAGGCCATTATGGCAGCCCATGAGGTAAAAATTTGAAACTCATTCAGTAAGATCAAGTGGTGTAGTGGTGCCTGGAGAAGTCAGTTTACACTTTCTTCATGCCATGCAGCATTACTCTTCGCCCAGTCCACCCAGAAATGGACCAGTAGTATTTGCACATTGTCTTTTAACCTCTGATGGTTGACTTCAGGAACCAAGGATCATTATGAAATTAGCCAGAGAAGAGACGCAGATTTACTGCCTCACAGACCACAGGCTGAGACAACTACAGGATTTTGCAGTTTGACTGAACTATTCGTTTTTCTTTAGTCCATCCACACGTGAAAACCGGTCAACTATTCTCTCACCTCGCCGGCAGTCTATAGGCCAGTAGTTTCTTAAGCAATCATCACTCCTCATGCCTAAATATAACAAACCCAACTAATGAAGGGAACAAGTGTTAGCCAATCAGAGGCAAAGTAGGTGGGTCATACCTTCACTGTCCTGGGAAACAAAATGTGGCTTGCAGCCACGACTGAATGATGCACATAAGAGGGGATTTAGAAGTGAGTGACCTGCACTGCACTACTGATAAGATTCATACAGACAGTTAATAAAACTTTACACACAGTGTCTTATCCTTGACCTTCAACTAGACGACATGACCATTTTTCTGAATATCACTGCATCATTCTAACCGTTTGTTTTTTCCCTCAAGCACATGAAGCGCCCAGGCTGTGTGCCTGTCTCTCCACCTTCTCCTTCTCTATCTCCTTCCTGTTACTCTCTGCAGGTCCTCCCGCCTCCAGAGCTGTAGAGTCTGGATCTGCAACTGCAAACCACCTACTGCCCCCATGATCCTGCTGCTAAACCTGCTAAAATTTACTAGAATTAATAATTATAATGTTATTAGCTGTCATTACTACTTTATCAGTATGAGCACTACAGTCGCCATTACATTACTATCTCTGTTACTGCCGCCACTGTCTCTATTATTAATATTGCTATCGTTGCATGTTCTTATTCTTTTCCTCTGTGCTCTCTCCTGCTCTCTCTCTCCCTCTCTCTCTATCTCTCCAAACCAAACAGGTGGAGGCAGATGGCCCCGCCCACCCTGAGTCCGGTTCTGCTTGAGGTTTCTGTCTCTTAAAAGGAAGTCTTTCCTTGCCACTGTCGCCTAGTGCTGCTCTTGGTGGGAATTGTTGGGTCTCTGTAAATAATATTATAAAGAGAAGGTCTAGACCTGCTCTATTTGGAAAGTGCATTGAGATAATGTATGTTGTGAATTGACTTGACTTGACCATCTGTAATCCCACAATGCAACGCTCAGACTGATCATCATAATACAAGCAAAACCCTGACAGTGGGTGGCAGGACTATGCTGATGTACCTGGAAATGAAACAAGGAGAAAAAGAAGTTCCTGAAAAATAATGTATTCTGCAATATGAATTTCCTCTTCATCTGTATCTCCTCTTTTCTAAATCGGTATTTAATCTTTTCTTGCATTTTCATTCAGGTCTTTTCCATGTGGAAATTCAAGCTGAACATGAACATGTGAATGAAAGCAGACTCTGACCTTCACAGAAAGAGTTTTTTTCTGTAGGTTAGGAGGACGGTTGACCGCCTCTTAATGCCGGCTAATTTAATCCCTGAGGGAGACGAGAACCCTCCTTGCCCAGGTAGTTCTTAGAGTACTTAAAACTGACCTGATCCAAACAGGTCAGACCATTATAGCTGGCCTCGGTAGATGATGGGCATGCCGCTCTATTTCAGGTTAAGCTCTGAGGTTATATGAACAAACCCTCACCTATACTTAACACTTAACACTGAAGTCAACCACAGTATGGACTTAAGTCTTTCGAGGCAAAGCACAAAGTCTGAAAAGTTTACAGATGCATGCTGACCTTAACCTTTACAATAACATGACATGGTTCAACATGTTTATGAACATGTGCTACTGGGTCACAGAGCAATACAAAACTAGTTACTTTAAAACTCCATATTTTCCTCTTCTTCTGTGTTTTATTTGAAGTGTTGATCCATAGGAAGATATATTTGTGGTTTTAACAACCAAAAACCATCTCTGTGTATTTTTACATCTCCTCCCTCAGGCTTCTCTCTGGAGTTCTAGTTACAACAGGTCGGTGAGCCAATCAGAAGAGAGGACGCTCTGAGCCTCAGTGATTTGCATGTTTTCTTTTCTTTCTTTTCACATGAGAAGGCTAAACCTGCAGATACAATTCTGAGCTGAGGGAACACTGAAAAAACCCATGATCCTCCCAAACACACTCTATTGAACATCAGTAAAGAATAAGACTGAAAAAGACTGAAGCAAAGTATCGGTCTAAGTGTTGTTAATAATGCAGCAATCTACTTCCATTTTATTGGAGTAGAATGAATTTGGACAGCCTGATGACAAACTCCATCATGTGTTGTTTTATATGATATGAATATATAAACAGAGGAAATGGCATTCACATATTTACTGTTTTGAAGAGACTTCACATCACTTCTGAAATAAAACCTACAACCTTTACATGCCCACCTGTTTTTTTACATCTCATTTCAAGCTGAATCTTCAAACAGCCACGCATAGTTCAAACATCAAATTGAATCTTAATCTTTGTGAAGTAGGTCAAAGCAATGTATGAACCTGAATTTAAGTGTAACAGAGAACATGCAGGGATCTTAGATGTCTAAACACTGTTTTTCATACCTGACTCAGAGATGTCGTCCCAGAATGGTGAATGAAAGGCATACTCAGCCCTCATGATCTTTGAGAACAGACGAGTTTCATTGTCCTCAAAGAACGGAGGGTAGCCGCAGAGCCTGCAACACACAGCACACTCAGCTAGTGCCTTCATATCTGCCTCCTGTGAAACTCTCATCATCAACATGTTGGATCAACTTTAGCAGCTATGGTGCAGCATGTTGTTCTAAGTAAGCTGAAAAACTGCTTTGATCTGATGACAGTCATCTCCATAGAAACACTCACTGAGACTGATGGGAAAATGATGATTTACTGGATAAGCTCTGGTTCATAAGTTAACTAGGTGATGTGTTGTTGCATATTAACTTAGAGTGGAGAAAATCTAATGGATCCTCTCATCCATCTGTGATGACTGTTGATGAACAGTCCTATAATGTGCTGTGTTACTATCAGACAACAGAAGTGCACTCACAGGATGTAGGTGATCACTCCAATGGACCAGCAGTCTACTGCTTTGCTGTAGGGTTTCTGAGCCAAAACCTCAGGGGCTGCAGGAAGAGACACAACAGTGAGAATCATGTAGGAGACAGAGGAAGAAGAACCTCTTTTCTAATGGCTCATTTTTATGGTGGAGGTCCTCTAACATTTCTGTTTGAATTAGAACAACCACAACATTAAACTGTAGTTTCTTTTATCACTGTCCTCTGTATAAGTCAGCAGCTATAAAGAGAGAGTGGTCAGAGTTCAGACTGGACAGTACAACAGTAAGTACCCCCAGACATATTTTAATTTCTGTATTTTTTCCTCCTTCATTGGATCTTTCTTTAATAAAATACTGTAGCTCTGAGCTGATCACAGACTCTGAGACTTTGATTAACAAAATTTCTGATGAAACAACATCAGAAAACGAAGCTATACAACAATATCCTGATAAATAAACCCAGACTAGATCCCTGTTGTCTTCTGCCTACTGCTTATTCTATAAAACTGGACTTGCTGGAAGCTGTACTGGGAGCTGTACTGGGAGCTGTGGTCCTGAACCCACTCTGCTCCTCCTGATGGTTTGTATGCAGAGTTACTGCTGCTAGGTGCACTATTGATCTCTCTCCTGTCAGAAATTTGGTTCATGTTAATGTGCCAAAATATAAAAATAAAATAGATTGTTCATGAGTCCGAGTCACTACTTCAGTGCGACCCTAGTCCAACTTGCAAACTTGAGTCCCCATTTCTGTTCTGCATGAACCATTCATGCTATAGAGCAACACCAGAGTTCAGCTGTGGTGTTGTCAGGATTTAATATGCCACATTAAAATTGTAACACCATGATTACACTGTGAAAATGTCAGTTCAAACATGGTACTGGAATGAAGTTCTAAGTTTTTAGACGTGACCGGATGATTTATAGTGCAGCAGATTACTGTAACAATCTTTCAAGTGTGGACATAAGCACCAGAATTGGTATGTTTATCCCTCTGGGCCATTCATTTAAAGAATCCCATTAGCCACTTGAAATTTCTAAATGGCTGTTATTTCCAGGATATGAAATATGTATTTTACCACAGAGTTTTACCCACAGGAGAGATTTAAATGATTTTGAATTGAATCCCATGTTTTTGACTCTGAGACTGTCAAAGTCACGATTCTTAAATCTTTTTAGAGCTTTATGTGTACAATTTCCAATATGTAATGTGAAAAATTATGCACAAAACACAGTGTAATTGCAAACCATTTCTTATGAATGATGAACCAAAAGTTCTGTTGGAGTTGATCATCTACTTGTTTTATTCAGCCCTTAAGTCAGCATTATTAGCAAACATTTAGCTCGTTAGTTTGATATGCTAGTTGCTAGTGCACTAGGCTAGCCTAACCCCGTGTATTGTGTGTGTACAGTTTAAATATGAATTACAATCACAAACACTTTAGCTGCATACATTTAAACATGTTATATTTACATATACAGTATAGTGTATATGACGTACTCCCTGTACTTGGTACCATGAACACTGCAGAATGCAATTAATGATGTTTGAGTGATCACCACAGATTCAGTTCATAAACCACACTGGACTGTAATTTACCCTTGAATTATACTGTGTCAAAAAATCTGTTTGATTATTTAAATGTATAGTTTAATATGGATAATGAGTTGAGATTTTCCACAGTGTGAGGTATTTGCAGCCGCTCCAGTATGTGTGTCCTCCTCCCCAGTAACTCACCAACATATCCTGGAGTACCGCAGGCTGTGGACATCACGCCGTGCTCCAGTGTCTTCGACAGACCAAAGTCACTGACCATGATCTTAGCGTTCTCATCTGTGTTGTAGTACAGCAGGTTCTCAGGCTGCTCAGAGACAGAGGGAGGAGCAGAGAGAGAGAGAGAGAGAGAGAGAGGAGGTTGGAGAGTAAAAAAAGAGGGAAAAAGAGAAAGTGTGTAGAGGTGAGGAGAGTTCTCATCAACTCCTATTTAGATAAGATCCAGAATTAATTTCCCATGAAAATGTGGGAGGTGCATGACTTTACAGAACACACAACTGAACGAATGACACTGAGACATTCTAACATTAGAAATGTGTTTGAGTCATTCTAAGAACTTTAGCTTTTCATTTTCTTTCTGGATTAAATCATTTCCATATGACCGTGCGTGTGTGTGTGTGTGTGTGTGTGTGTGTTTGTGTGTGTCTTACCTTAAGGTCCCTGTGTACGATGCTGTCACTGTGCAGGTAGCTCACAGCCTGCAGCACCTGTTTAATCACTGTGCTGGCGTCCTTCTCAGTGTAAACCCCTTTGTCTAAAATGCGATCGAACAGCTCTCCGCCTGACACCCTGCACACACACACACACGTGCCAGCACACACACACACACACACACACACAAAGGAATGCACAAAATGTTTAGAATAATGGTTTCAGAGATGAAAAAAAAAACACTGACTGTGGTAAGTTTAAATTTCATATCAGATCTTTTAAGGAGCGACTACGCTGTGTGTCTCTAATTGGTTTATGGCAAGCAGATACACAATATATGTGTGATTCTGATTTGTGATCAAGAATCTCTTGAAAACTCACCTCTTCCTAAAACCCTAACATGTCTAACTAGCACTTACTATGCACTATTGGTGCACTTCTTTAACACAATCTCCTTGCACTTATCAAATACACGTAGTACTTAATATTTAAGCTAAGTTTCCTACTGCTCTGAAGCTTACTGATATCCACTTGTAAGTTGCTTTGGATAAAAGTGCCTGCCAATGAGTAAATATAAATGTAAATGATTCTGTCAGAGAGATTTGTTGGTGATGATGTTTCTAACTTTACTTGATTTGAAGGTAAATTTAAGAGAGAAAACCAGTAATATATAAAAGAAGCTGTGTGCTATGTGCCACGAACTGTTGTTTTTTACTGTCACATCTGATTTCACTCAATATGAGAGCCATCACCATTATCATTTTCTACTAAAGTGATCATTTGTGATAATGATGAGTCTACTTACAGCTGCATGACCAGGTAATAGTGAGTCCGAGTCTCATAGAAATCCTCCAGTCCCACCACGTTCTCATGTTTTATCCTGAGGGAGTGAGAGAGAGAGAGAGAGTCACTGCTGTGAACTCACTGAACTCATCTTCACACTGGAACACATGCTGCCTGTCATCCTGTTTCACCTCTCACTCTGAATAATTCAGTACATTTAAAGAGACATTCAGTTGCATGTTGTGCTTTCTATTGGCTATAACATGATGTGAATCACCTGCATTAATGTGTGTGTGTGTGTATATATATATAAATGTGTGTGTTTTACCTTCTCAGCACATTGATTTCATTCTCCAGGTTGGTGTGGACGAGGTGCTTCTTCTTCAGACACTTGAGGGCGTACAGTTTCCCGGTCTGCTTCTCTCTCACCATGAAAACCTCGGAGAACGACCCCCTGCACCAGCACAGTGAGGACAGACACAGAGACACAAGACGAAGTTAATGGAGAGAACAAGAGCCCACCACACTTCTGCCAGCCAATGGGAAGATAGAAGGGTCCCCAAGTGTGAGATGCATCACTGCCATTAGTGGACGTTCATTTATTTATTTATTAAATAACCAGATTAGAAAATGTTCATCAGGTTTTTCAGTTGAAGACTTCACCATTAATGTAAAGGTTTTCTGAGGGAAAACACTAGCTAAAATTCTCTCAAGTTGTGTGTTTGGTATGAAGGAAGCATTGTGTTAAATTACACTAAAATACAACCTAGTTGATGTTACATAAGTGCAAAGTGGAAAAGTAATATTTATGTTAGCCATATAAAACTCATACTGCCTTATAAATGGAAATATAAACTATAGAAATCAGAAAACATATTTTCTAGTATTTTCTAACTCCTCTCTGCTCAGGATAGAACGTAAAAGTAGTTACTGAAGTGACAAACACAACATGATCGAATGTAACAAGCTAATCAGCACATTACCTGACTAAGGTGAAGGTACATCTGCCTGACGAGTTCACTCTGTGAGGCTTCCTGGGATTTTTATTTCACTTAGAGCAGATTTGTTTTTTTTACACAGAAGCTACATCTGAGCCAAAAGGAGTTAAATAAAAATATAAAAGGCTCATAGTGACATAAAATGAAGTGATGCACCTGATCTTCTGGAAACCACAAAGGAGGTGATCACCTCCTGCTTGGAAACACCACTCTCTTTCTATTGGTTTACAGATCTTGGCCAACCATCACACACTGATCATCATTCATTCAAATAAACTCAGCAAAGGGCCTGATGCAGAACCTCGAGCAAGTGCGACACACCTGACACACCTGATACACATCAGCTGATTGAGCACTGACTGTGATTCTTGGTCTGAACATGTTTTTATGAAGCAGAATAGTGACTTAATGTAAGGAAGGACAGAGGGAAGTAAGCTGTGTCACACTGTCGGGAGCATTCATTTATCCGTTCATTCATTCATTCCATCTCTGTTCATTTTCTTCCACAAATTTTCTTTACAGCCCAGACATTGATTTCAGTGTATCCTGTCCTATCTCTAAGTTATTCACAGCCATGCTGCATGACCACATACAATCTGCCCCACCCTGCTCAGCATCACAGTATGAATGAAGGTGGATTTATTTTTTCAGCTCCATGTCACATAGAGCTGTTAAATAAAAGACATGCAGGAGATTCTGAGCATCAGACTTCCAGTTTGTCAGAGGTTGAGCGGGTTTTAATCTCGTGTTGGTCCTCACACCAGTGGATCCACATAGTGGTTGTTGGTTCATGGCTGGTTAGCCTGTCTGCCCCCTCCTGGATTTAAAGAGGTACTGCTGTGTTTCTAACAATGTGCCCTTGCTACATGCTTCAGTTACACTACATCCACACTACTATGTTTTCGTTTTAAAGTGTATCTCTTTTCCTACGTTTCCTCCTGTCGTCCACACGACTCTGAAGTTTTCAAGCACCGAAAAATGAAGAGTTTTTTGGAAACTCTGATGGCCCTGTTTTAGTTTGAAAACCTTTGGAAACGATGATGTAGACACCCACGGTCTCTCCTGATTGGCTCTCATCAGCCTGGACTACCAGTGGTGAATAGAACATGATAATGAATCACAGTGTTACTGACCTTGTTGTCTTTGCAGCTGTTGTTCAGTTAAATTCTGTATTTTAATGCTACAACTGTCTTTGCTGTTCCTCCTTCAGAGGATTTACTGTAACTAACCAACTGCAGAGAAGGCAATCTACTTCCTGTTTACACTGGCTCGCACAGGCTCAGTGTACATGAATGGTCATGTCTGAATGTTTTTTCAGGTGTGTTGTTGGACAGACACTGAGCTAAAATGGTCATCTGGACGGAGATCATTTTTGTTTTAAAACGCTGTTATAAAATGAACTGTAGTAGTGTGGACGTAGCCTTAGTATGTCTCCATATGTGGTGCTAATTACTCTGGTGTTTTATTGTAGTTTCATCTCAGTATTTAAACATTCACCACTGTGGTTTATTCACTAATGAAATGATAGCATTTCATAGGTCCGAAGTCCGTAGCTAGCAACCTTCAGTTAAAGACAACCACATAACAGACCAGACCAGAGCCAGACCAACAAGACATCATCACCATGTAACCCAGACAGGCTGAGGTAGTCCTGTCTTGGATGGGTATCAGCATGGCAGGCCTTTCTTTATCCTCACAGTCAGATGTCAGCCGGGTGTGATCCCACATTTTATCCACTGAGTCGAGCATCCGTCCCAGAGATACTGCAGTTCTCACCCGAAACACCGCAAACCCAATGAGGGAGACTCAAATACACATGTTGCAGATGCACTGTTACACTCCAGACCCGCAGCTGCTGTAATATTATTGCTTGCTATTTGTTTTAAAGTTGCATCTGCTCAGTGCAGAGGGAGGAAAGAGCAGGAAATTTGTCCTTTTTCATCCAAAATTCTCATCATGGAGCATATTTGATTTGATCTGATAAAATCATTTTATCAACTTTCATGACCCAGGAACATCACGGAGGCCAATCCTATAACATTAGTTACTCTTTAATGAGTCTTCAATGGCTGTCCGGTGAACGTGCTGATTCTCAGCTGTTTTCTACCTTCAAATGAGAACATGTGTTTGAAGGATAAAAATCACCACTTGGAGATATTTTTAAAAAATAGCTCATTTACTACTTTAATGAACTCAATGCACCTTTGCAAAGTCAAACTCTAATGGATCTTTGACATATGTGTTAACTCCACATGTCTCCACATGTCCAACATGTTTCTGCCTCATGTTTTTGCACAAACACACACCTCCACCTGCTCACAGCACCTCCCTTCAGACACATTCAGTACAGCTCACACTCCAGTATAGTCAACTAGATCTTTAATCCTATAATGAAGTGGTGCTAGGATGTTCCTGCACTGCTGTCCTGACGTCAGTGCTCAGAAACATCAGACACATACACACTCACACACACACACACATCCTCATTCACAGCCAGTCGAGGAGGGAGCACTTTAAGCAGCTTTGAGAGAGCAGTGAAACTCTGAGGAGGAAACACCTTCAGTTCACTAAGCAGCAGTTTGTTACAGGTCATTGTTCTGACCAGTGATGTGAAGCCAACATGAAGTCACTAAACTCTTGGAAATGATGTTTGATAAAGAAAAAGAGACTTTCTGTGCAGGGCAGGAGAGACACAGTTTGTTTGTTGATCACTTTAACCAGATTTATTTTGAGGACTGTAACAGTGCATTTGCACATTTTGGGCGACTACAACAAATAAAGTGGTAGAGTGTGGAGCATCAATATCAGTCATCACCACCACCTTTGATTGAATTTTTCATGATTTAAATCATAATTTTAAACTGTATTCAATTTATTCAAAGCTGTTTGTGTGAAGAAATAAACAACGATACATTTGCAAAGTTTGACAAAATAATTTTGTTGATGGGACAATCCATTGACAGTGGATTTTGAAGTCCTGCACTGATCCAGGTTCAGCTGTGAGTAGATTACGCAGATGGTGTAAGAGGCTCCATTGATAAAAGCGGCTCTCAGGGAGGTGATGCCAGTGTGATCCTGGTCACTGGGAGTTCACCTCAGTCTGCTGCTGAGTCTAGTTTGAGCTGAAATCAGGATTGTGGCTGCTGATGTGAGATTGCATTAAATGCTTTTCAACTGTGACAACAAAATCAGCTACGATTTACAACCTGTTGTCAACAAGCAGTTTCGTGTATCGTGGTGCAACAAGCAGACAGACAGCTATCCCACCAGGCAACACCTGTGCTCATCACAGACTGAACATCCTCATCAGAAAACTCTATCTGCTGAGGGTCTCATTCGCACCAACCCATAAAGCAAGTAGCAACAAGCCCTGTAATACTTTTAATGTAATGGTAAAATTGGGAGAGTGAACAGAAATCAAATCTCTCATGACCACACTACATTCTTTACAGATTTGTTCAACAGCCAGGGAACGGTTCTTGCTCAAAATGCCCAGTACTGGTGACCTGATGGTCTTCATCACACCCTTTTTTTGCAATTTGCAACTTTCCTAAAATTCTCTGTCTAAATAAATAAAAACCCTCAAGTACATACAAAACATTCAGCTCCTCTCTCTTTATTTCAAACATTAATACTTACGATCCCATTTTGCCCTTGAAGTCAAAGATGTCCTTGATGTTACTGGTGCTTTTCTTCCAGCTGCAGATGATCTCTTTCCGCCCCATCTTGGCTCTGACGTTGCCGTAGACTCCTGAAGCACAGATGACAGAAATCATTTACATTTCTCATGGGTTGGAAAAACAGTGAGACTGTGATTTACATTTTATTAAAACACATAATTTACCAAAAAATTAACTAACATAAATACATATATTCAGACAAAGATATACAAACCTAGATATAGATGCATCAGAATGAAAGGCTTTTCTAACATGAATAATCCGTCCTGATGGACCATTAACTAAATACTATTATCTACATCTGCATCGAGTCTTTAGGCTTGGCTTTATAAATTATAAATACATTTATACTCTATTAATAATTAGTTAATAAAAAAATCATCCCACTCCTGCTCTGACATAACCATGTCCAACTGTTTTTAGTGACACTGTAGAACTACACATCTGTAACACTGAATAAAACCCCAACCCTTCCCACAGCTGAGGAAAATAAAAGAGTGTATTTCTGTCTTCTGTGGCACTGAGTCATTTTAAAAAAAATCTGTTTAATCAGACTGTGAATCTGAACTGTTTCCCCATCTTTAGATTCTTCTGCAGTTCTACAAAGTTTTTTATACTCTGTCCAACACCGTGAAGTATTACTCATTCATAAAAAAGGATTATACTGTATACTCTGGAGGGAGAGAGACCACTGTATCCCTAACTGTCCCTGGTCTTGGCTCTCTTACTGTTCCATAGTGATCACAGTTACAGTGATCGACAGCTTACATGGATCAAAAAGCTTGGGACAGAATCATTCCTATACAAATACTGCTTAAATAATTCACTTATAGTAATCAAGTAATCAAGTAGATCTTTTCATACATGACAACAGGAGGTGTAACAACAGGAGCACACCACCAACCAACACGGAGGAGGACACTGTTGCAGGATTATCATAGAGGCCGAGCCTAATTCTCAATATTATAGATTATAGATGTTTGATATTTTAATTGCAATTACGATGTTGATTGAATAGAACTGCTATTCGGTTAAATACATATTTAGTGTCGCCCTATTTTTTGTGGACTTTAAAAATTTCAATATTTATTTTTTAAAACACACTGTAGTTTTGTTGACGTAAACTTCAACTCAGATGATGTAAGTGTAGCAGGTGAGCAGGTGAATCTCATCAGTCACATGACCTGCTCCACTCCCAGGTTACAGCACACATCAACAGTAAAAACTACATCTGTAATAGTAAAGGTAAAGGAACATTACAGGATGACTGCAGACAGCAGTGAGTCCTGTGAAGTTGACACTGCTCTGTACAGTATAGACCTGAGTATTTATAGCCTATAGTTATAGATCCAGGACCAAACTGACTTCAGCTTCATGTATTGATCAGTCCACAGAGACTCTAACCTGAACAAACCTCAGTCAGATACAGGATCAGTGCACTCTCTCTGCTACCAGTGGATGGAGACAGGTTAACAAGGGGGGTGACCCCCCACGACAACCCCCAATCCAGATGACTGATATTAAGTCTTCACTCTAACAATGATGGACCTCCATCAAAGCCTGATGCATGAGGAATTCATGCTTATAAAAAGTTTGTGCATCAATGCTCCAGGAGCTGATCCTAGATATTTAAATCCATATCTCTGTTCCCTCTACTTGTCTCCTGTGTTGCTCTTTGCAGGATCACCTGCTCCCTGGCTCTCTGCAGATCCTCTGTTCTTTTTTGGATTAGCATCCGTGTGTAACAATGAGATGAAAAACAATTGATAATGAGATGATAATTAATGAAAATTTCATTCATCAATCAGTTCATGGCTGTGGTACCACTGTGGAAAAAAAATACTGTATGACTCAGTATTAAATTTGACTATAACTTTACTTTACAAACTATTAGATTCATTCATTAATTCATTCATTCATTCATTCATTATCAAGTAAAGTAAAGACATGTATTATTTCCCTCATCAGGCTGTTATTCTTGTCCAGTGTGTTTAGTGTGTTAATGTCAGAAAGTCTTTACAGTGCCCTCATACTCAGAAATAAAATAAACAGACATTTACTGAGAGAAATAAAATATTTTTAAAAAATTGAGTGCAAATCCTTCCCTGACCCCCTCCACACACACACACACACACACACACACACACACACACACACACACACACACACACACACACACACACACACCTTCTCCTTGTGTCCTAGTTACATAAACTGTTGCATGTTCATGACTGTGGTCAGTTCTCACTGACTAAAGCCCATTTGTACCGATCAGTTACACAAGACTGAAGAAGAGGGAGGATTAGAGAGGTAAATAGCAGTGGTCAGTTAATCTCCCTCCTCTCCTGTCCTCCTCCTTGTGTCTGCTGCTGTGGGAACAGATTAGTGGCTGATTCCCTGACAGGACAGAAACTGGGTCGTTTCATAATCCTGGACTTGAAAGGCCAATGAACCCTGACCTTCCAAAAATATTTCAGTACATCCTAAATGATATAAATGATATATACCTGAAGTTCATGGAAGTTACTATTTCAAAGAATTACTGTCACATTTTTGAGACTACTTTCTCATTATGTAGAAAACTTTGATAAAATGCAGGAACATTTTATCAGAATATTTCACCACCACCATGTCTACGGACTGACTTCTGTGTGCTGAGTGAAAGATACCAGAAGAACTCATACAGAAACCCTTGAATCACTTATGGGTCTGTTCAGACTGTCACAGCTCTTGGTTCAGGTTCAGGAAAGATCCTGGTCTGATTTAATACAGAAACAGTTCACAGTGACTTCAGACATGTAACCAGAACCTCCATCTTTCACTAACCTGAACCAAAGAGCTTCTGCAGCCTAAACCACAGACTGGTCTCTGGTGTCAACTTCATTCATTCAAAAAAACACCTTTCCAGCTGAAATAGCGACATTAGTTGAAAGACCTGCTGAGTGTCACGAAATAATGTGTGTCCATGAACATAAACCAATAGATTCTGAGCCAAAGTCAAGGTTTCTCCCGGGGGAGTCTTGCGAATGATTTTTTAATGAAAGTTGCAACATTAGATTTGTCCTCCTATTAAAAATAAAAAATGCTAGATTACTCAACGAAGTTTGGTGTATTGAGAGTAAACAAGAACCAGTTCGTGTTAGCAGCTTTCTACTGGTTTAACTTTAAACATCCATTATATAAACTCAAGATGGAGCATAAGTCATATATCTGAACAAAGACGGCTGTACTTGAGTTTAAAGATGACAACAACATCACTCGTTCTGGTCCTGATAGAGAGACAAAGAAGACTCGTACCTGGGGAGCGGTGAGAGATGGTGAGAGATGCTGGAGGTGAGGTATCCGTGGATGAACCTGACCGCTCACTGCAGGCTGCTGCTCTTGACCGGGGCGGGGGGGCGGAGCCTAGTCCGCAACTCCCGTACAGTCTGTACTCACCTGATGCTCACCTCCTCAGTCTCACAGTCAGACAACGTGTGACGTTCAAAAACTTGAAAACAAATCTTTGCTGTGCAGGTTTCTATCGATTAATGTGGAAAGTTGCTTCTCTAATCATCTTCATTTAATAGAAGAGTGAACAAAGAGAAAAGTTTCTTACTTGACTTTACACATTCTTTGTAATCAATTTGAACTTATTTGAATTATTTAGCAATGACAGTTTAACTCAAGGTGTGTAGTGAATATTGATTAACTTTCTTCTCCTCTTTGGAAAAGCATAAATCTTGTTTTCAACATCATCACCACCAGCAGCAGGAGTGTATACAGTTGGTTCAAACTGCCCATCATAGCTGTTCACTGCTTTTTCTCTGTAGTCCACATATGTTTTATTTTACTCTGCACACGGACACATAAGCTGCAAACCAGTGAACAACAGCAGCTATTGAAACACCATAGTGATAATATTGCATGTAATTATCTTATACACATTAAGTCAGCATACCTGCCATAATGATTACATCATTTAGCCATATGTCCAGTAGCTCTCTGAGTACAACCTGTTTGTGATGACGCAGTTGTGTAATCTGTGTGAGTGTGAGTTGTCCCGGATGGTCAGCTGTTAACCATCCTTGCACATATGCTGTCATGTTCACAGTCTACTCACATGTGCTGTAACATGTTCTGACACCAGGGATGATGTGAATTTCAACTGCCTCAACACCCCCCTGGTCATGCTTCACTTCAGCAATCTGTGCAGCCTAAACATATGCAAAGAGACATGTCTCTCATCAGCAGGGTATTGAAAGCACTGCTAAGATGATTATCAGCAGCTAATGCAAGACGTGCACAGTAGGCGACTGCATCATTAGTTGTAGATGAATGTTTATACAAACTGCATGTGAGAGCAAAACAGGCCATAAACAAAACATTGTTGAATACAAACATCAAAGACGGAAGTTTTGTTGTTGTTCAAATACAGACAATATTGGAGTACCACATATGAAACAGTTGTGTGTTAACAGGGCAGGTCAATGATTAGGTGCTAAAGCAGAATTTGTTGAACAAATTTCTTCTTTGTTAAGTAGTTTTACTTTTTTCAATCCAAATGTATACACCAACCATTAAAATTTAGAGAGAGAATAATTTTGAATATTAAAATAAATCTAAATTACAAAGAAAAACACTTGAGTTAAAATCAACCAAGGAACCTTGAGAAACTTAATATTTTAATGTCCTCATGTGCAGCCCTGCTTATTTGCTTCAGTTAATCTGATGTGTGTGTTTGATTAAGTACAATTTTGTGGTACTTGTACTTTGAGTATTTTGATTTTATGCTATACTTCCACTACATTTTAGAGGGAAATATTAATTTGTACTCCACTACATTTATTTGACAGCTTTAGTTACTCATTACTTTTCAGATGAAGATTTTACACAGTGGATAATATAACAAGCTTACGACAAAATACAACACATTGTTAAAGATTAAACCAATAGTTTCCAACCTTTTTGGCCTCTGATGTCATACATAAAGCAGTGTTTAATCTGGGTCACAATTTAGATCTCTATAAGTGTTAACAGCTCCAGCAAACAGTGATTTTTCCCTCTAAATGTCTCTCATGGTTTAATTTCAATAAATGTCCAAACAACCCAATATCACCAATAATCAAAGAGAGACAGAAACAGATTAGTGTATCAAAACTTTGTTATTTATTCTCTCCTCTCTGATTAATCAGATGAACCCTCAGATTTATCCGGTGTTCTTGTTTATAAAACTGTATATAAAGTTCAGACTGTGTCCACCTTCAGCAGCTACATCAATAACTGCTTACACACTGATGCTTCAGTATTAATCATCTAGTGATGTCATATTTAAAAAATAGTCAGAGGGGCCAAACCAGTACTTTTACTTTAATAAGACCCTGATTTAATAAGACTATTATACCTATCTAGTCCATTGTCATGTTCAGAGTATTAGTTCCTTGTTGTTTTCTTGTTTTGTTAGTAGGCTATATTTAACTCTTATGCAGTATATTATTCCTGCTTTCCTTGTGTTTATGTACTTTATACATGTTTTACTTGCTTTCATTTGTTTTAATTGCCCTTTGAGCAGTACTTAGGTCAGCTCAAGTTGTGTTTAAGTGTTCTAGAAATAAAGTTGACTTAACTAATACTTAAAATACATGTTGCTGATAATGTTTAATATAATAATAAGATTTTTCATGCATGAATTTACTTGCAATGGAATATTTCTAAATTGCTGTATTGGTGCTTTTATTTAAGGACCTGAATAATTCCACCACTGTTTTTCAGTCAGGTTCGGTCGTTCATACTAAAGACACATAGTTAGTATTGACGTGAACAGATCTAAGATAGATTTTTTCACAATAAAAGTAAATGAATAGCAGTAGATTTGTTGAAAAACACATTTAACTCATGAACATAATAACATATAGCTTTGATAAGCCACATACGTTAGGCCCGAGAAGGCAGTGCCCTCATATATCATGAATAATATATCCCTTATCCGTTCATCCCTCCAGTCACAACAAAGAGACGTCGCCTACGTCACTTGTTGACGTCGTGTTGATTTTGAGCGGAGAAATAATATATTTAAAAACTGACGCAAGGGCGCTAAATCTAAAATAAACCGTGAATAAAATGTGAAAATACATAAATATTTTGGTGAAGCAGCTGCACGCATGAAAGGTTCGACAATATTTGACCTTAACACAATAAACTCGTTACGTTAGCCTCAGGTAGCGTTAAATGGAAAGTGAAGGGAAAATGACTTGCTAACACTGCCGGTCGGGCTAGCTATATTTTGGCTAGCTAGCTAACGTTAGCACAGGGGTAGTCCTTACTTCTGACGTTACCTTGCAAATACTGTTTGTCGTGATTTATTGTATTTTATTGCTCTGCTCTATGTGTTGTTGAAATGTGGTGCCATACGCTCACATTTCGAGTTGAATAGGGTAGTGAAGGAACTACTAAGCTAATGTTAGTTGGCTAGGTTAAGTAGCATCACATAGCTAACGGGAGGTTGCTTCGTAAGCTATGACCCGCAAGAACTTATTTAGCTTATGTTAGCTGGCTATGTTAGCATCCATAGAAACTGTTTTCCTAACCTTGGACCACCGCATTCTTTCTTTTTCGACTTATACATCCTACTGTGTGGTTAACGTTACATCGTAGGATTATGGCGCCCCGCATACAGCTGGAGAAAGCGGCATGGCGTTGGGTGGATACAGTGAAACCAGAAGAAATCGGACAGGAGCATATCGAGCTAGCATATCGCGTCAATCTCCCGGCCTGCAAGAGAGGAGCCTGCAGGTAATATGTTAACATTTCTAAACAACATGCCTCTGTTGTGCTAACGTATGCCAGTAGAACATACCAGTAGCAGAAGTTATATTTGATTTTAAAGATGATGGCTTAATGGCTAACTGCCAGCTTCACAGAGAGATGCTAATGTGTATCAAAAGTCTGATTAGTTTCCTTGTTTGTGCACAAGTTTTCATAGCTCGTAGCGCTGCTCTGTAGACTTAGTATGACAGATCACGATGGTCCACTCCACTCTTCACTTGAACATACCACAAAATAGCCCTAATATACAAGATTGGAGGTATCACAGTGAGGACCAGTTCCAACAACTGAGATGTTACTGAACTTCATCTTGCTCTGTGGCTTCTAACTGCGTATAAACTGCATATAAACGGCTAATGGCAAATGAAGTGTGTCCTTGGATACAGGACATTATTGATTCATAGATTGATTTTGGCATTAGCTTTGTTTCCACTAAACAGAGAGGGCTGCAGTTGGATGTAAAGTTGCTAGTGGACCAGTGAGATAAATCATGACTTCCTTTTCCAGGAGGAACTGCAAAGGGAATCCCAACTGTCTTGTGGGTATTGGTGAACAGGCGTGGCTGGGGGAGATAGATGAAAATGCTTTCCACAATATCGATGACCCAAATTCAGAGCGTCGAGACAAGGTATTTATTGCATCAGCTGCACATACAGCAAATTGTTTTCTCACCTGTCTTTATTTTTCTCTGATCACCACTCCATTGTAGGTGAACAGCCCTGGTTATAATCAGACCCGAGCTGGAAGAATATCTAATGAGGCAGTTGATCCTATCGCTCTCTCTCTCTGTCTCTGCCCCCTTCCAGAACACATTTGTTGGTCTTACCAACCTGGGTGCAACGTGTTACGTCAACACATTCCTGCAAGTGTGGTTCCACAACCTGGAGCTGCGTAGGAGCCTCTATCAGTGCCACAATTCCCGAGCACAGGAACACAACGTTGAGTCTGGTACTACTGAAAACTAAACACTGAGGAAGCTTCTTTATGTTTGTTTATTCTCTGGTTTAAGTTGCATGTTTTTATTTTTTTTCATTTTTCATTTTTTTTGTGCATACACCTCAAGTAGTGCTTGTCCCGTCAGCTAGAGTAACATCACCCAAATGAACATTTAGAAGATTGTTTGAATTTTTGCACAAATTACAGTAGCAGTAGCAGGCTGAGAACACAGATCTCCACCAAAACAGCTGGGTGTTATAGCCAAAGGAATCATCAACATCAGTTTACATCAGATTTGTTTGTTTGATTACATTTATTTTGTAAACCAATAAATCTGAGCTGGTAAATTAAGGGGGGCTATAATTACTGTCTGATTGGAAGCAATAAGAGTAAACATCACCATCGCCATGTTGCTGATCTTTAATTAAATCTCAAATCATCTCCCATTGTTGTTTAAAATTATCTGACAGAAGGTAAAGTTCCACTTACATGTTGGCTAGTGTTTGAGCTTGAGTCATCATTAGACTGTTAACTCATACTTTGATTGCTCTGCAGGTTTTTACCCTTTCATTTTCATCCTCTCAGACAGACGTCTCTGTCTTTT